CTTAATAATATTAATTATAATGATATGTTCCTAAAGGGAACTTCCTCTTCCTTTCTTTTCTTCTTCATCTCTTTTTTTTTTTTAACCTGCATGTGATCGTGAAAGAGATGACACGAGTCAGCGTCTAATCTAATTAAGAGAATGTTTGATTTGATTTGTGAGAATTTTTGTTTTTTTATTGTTATGAATGATAAATTTAAATTTTTATTAAAAAAAATTTAAAAGTTACTTTTAAAAATAAGAAAAAGTGAGTGAAAAATAAGTAAAAAAAAATTTATGAAAAGTTTAGATTTAAAATTTTTAAATTTTTATTGTTTGAAATCTTTTTAAAATTTAAAAAAATTAAAAATATAAGTTTTTTAAAATTAAATTAATTTTTAATTAATATTTTATATGATTTAATGATTCTATTAATATATTACTCTTTTCAAGGTAATTATCAAATAATAATATAATTTTTTATAATAAAATACTTAAAAAGCCAAATCCACAATACTTCCTAACCGTAACAAACACAACCACGCTATACATTCTATAAGCAAAACACTTGTTGCCTGCCTTAACTACTGAGGGCTTCCTTCGTACAGCAATGCAGGCTTCTTCACATACATACACTATTACAGGATACAAACACTTGACAAAATCTACCTAACACGGCGCAGAATCGAGCTTTCACCCAACATTAGCAGGAAAATGCATCTCGATTGCAAGCTCCAAGTCATCATCTTTCTGTCTTTCCATTTCTTCCATGGGTTTCAACTTATACTTGCCCCATAGAACCGCATAAAGTCCAGAAACGATCATAACAGACCCTACAAGACTGAATCAATATTATTTCCATATATGATTAACATCTTTGCTCATTTCCACTCAATCAAGCTAGCTATAGTGCTAAAAATACAGTTGAACAAATCATGTATATGTCTACTTACGTTCCCACGAATAATTTTTCGTGTAACAATGCCCAACTTAGGATTGCCACAATCACGAGCAACAACGAGCTGAATACTGAGACAAAAAGAGGTCCTTTCCTTTTTATGCTCCATATGGTGAGGCAAGACGCTAATGCGTTACACACAATCCCCTGATATTACATGCTAAATCATTTAAGATACCAATCATTTTTAAAATAGAGTTTGCTTGGAAGTGAAGCATACCGTGTACAAGGATGCAACGAGCCTAATACCAGACCTCAATGACCATTCTGATATTTTATGCTCAGAAATGAGTCCAATGACAGTACACTCGATGCTTGCCATGAAACACATCGCTGCAGTTGTTGTGTATGGCGCCGGGAACTCTTTCCCTAGCCGTTCCTGAAATCATGAATGATCAAAGGACTAACCAAAAGTATTGAAAGGAATTGAGCATTTTAAAGTTAAGTACTAACCTGGATTATGAGCCAAATAGCCCATGCAACACAACTGACTATGACTAGGAATGTATCCAGGAAGCTTGTCCCATTACCAGAACTTGAAGCAGCCATATTCTTGGCATATATCCAATGAATGCTGGATTCTGTTATGTCAATGGTGTGTCCATGGTAAAATGATACCAACATCGAGCCACCAACGCATACCATCGTCCCTATCACCTTTGCCTTCCCTGCTGCAGTCTTCATTGCCACATCTTCTAGTCTAGTTAAACCCAATAATAAAAATTATACCAAATCAATTCATAAGGCGTTAGTCTAGTAGTAAAGGTCAGACTTAACTATAGTTGTTAAAAAAATCTATTATGCGCACTTGCAAAGGGCTGCAATGACAAAAGTCATTGCAGGGAGGACATTTTTCAATGCACAGGCAATTGTTGTGGTTGAGTCTTTCAGTCCAAGAAAGTATAACACCTCGTTTGCAGTTGCCCTGCATATGATTAATATTAATTCCACTGTACATTTTTCGGCGTCCAGACTAATATTTTGAAGGTAATTAAACAAAATCCTAAAGTCGAAATCCGAAAAAGAACTTACCCAGTAATAGAACACAAGAATAACTGAAATAAAATAGTCTTTGTGATGTTGGGTCTTGTCTTCCTGCCCAAGTAACCAGAAAGAGAATTAGAAACCTGTTTTGAGGTGAGAAAACAGAGTTTTCCCCTCAGAAATTTAGTTTGGTTTGGTGTTCATGATTCGTTTTCTATTTTTTGCTGGGAAATTAAAACGCATCTAATTTACATGGCATGTTAGAAAAACACTTCTTTGAAAGTAATGAAACAAATTCAAACAAAAGAAACCAAAAAAAAAAAAAAAAAGTGAGAGAGAGAAAAAAGTGTAATTTCTAGTAACAGAGTTAGCCCAGCTCCCAAGTTATAGGTCTAAGTAGTTCTGAAGCATGGAACAGGGGAGGGAAGGGGATATTATACTAATATACTGTTAAGAATCAGATGTACCATAAATATTAAGAGAGAGAAAGAAAGAAAGAAAGCTTTTTTCTTCAATAGATGATTACCGTTCCAAGAAAAATGCAAAAAGGGTGATGGCAATGGTGGAAAACATTTGACAGTAGGCGTCGAGGACGAGAGGTTTCATACCGGATTCCATGGCAAGTTTGGAGATGATGTTCATTCCGGCGTAGCATACCTGCACCAGAACCATGGCCAAGCACGGCATGAAATCCCCTAACATTGCTTCTTTAATTTTTTTTTTTTTTTTTCCTTGATTCTGTTTGGACCGTGAGAAAGGAAAAGAAAGCGGAGGAAATGGACAATTGAACACGAAACAGTTAAAAGTTTCATTAAAGTTGTTTGGACAAGGACATGTTGTTGTACCTTGCAAAAATAACAGTAATAACATCATAGAGTACAAAACAAATATTTAAAGTATAATACAAACATTATTGTCACCCATTTCCTGTCACTCAATTCTAGAACATTTATTTCAAAAAAAAGATTATTATTAGATTACTTGTTCATTGAACATAACAGTAGTCTATATTAGATAACAAACAATAACAAAAAACACTTGTACCCATAAATCCCCGAATCCAAACCCAAACAACAGTCCATATCATATCTGCTCTTGGGTGAAAATGACCTAAGCCACTCATGATGGGCAAATATCAAGCTTGCAATCCATCTGATAAAATAAACAAGCTACACTCAAGCATTGATATAATTCTTCACTTTTTTTTTTTTTTTGGCCTGTAACGTATTCATTTTATGTAAATAAACTTGGTTTCAACTTCAGGTAAAGTTTGAGATCAACTTATTCATATTAAAAGATTTTACTAAAATTATAGTTTGATATTAAAAATAATATGTTTGAGTTCCACACTTGAACTAGTGTCTTATTTAATAAATAAAACTCGAGTGAAAATAAATTCAAATAAAGTTGCAATTCCAAGCTAACTAAAAATTTTAAAGTTCAAGCTCAATCATTGAACTCAAATTTCCAATTACCACCCAATTGCTTCCAATATATTTAAATAAATTAAATTAATTCAATTCACGAATAGTTAAATGCATGCATTCAATATGGTAAGAAAAACATGTCTGGCTAAAAAAAAAATACAAATACAAAACTTTTAATTTTGAGAAAGTTCTAAAAAGTAGGCACTAATTTCATTTTTAAAAAATGAACCCATTCATAATATGATTAAGTGAATCAAACATCTAATCTTTTAAAATTCAAAGATTATGGTATTTTGAAATCTATTAAATCATAGATTCCTTCTTCACAAAAGTTCTACATCCAAAATGAAATCAGTCACTTTGTTTCATCAAAAAAATAACTCAATAAAAGAAATCAAACAAACTTTCTCAACGTACAATGAATTAATGAAATTTATCAATTTCTTCCATAGTCTGTCAAACCACAGAATTGTTTGATTTCCTCTATCACCTCTTAGTGGTTTTGCAATTTTTTTGAGGTTCCGGCTTTTGATCTGTCTCTTCCCACTGTTCATTCGGTTGTTTTTGGCGCTTTAGATCTGGAAGTATCTCGTCTTCTTCTCCTTCATCACGACGCCGTTTGTTTTTTGTATTCACCGTTTCCGTTTCTTTCTTTCTTTCTTTCTTTCTTTCTTTCTTTCTTTCTTTTCTAAT